TCGAAGCTAACAAACTATTAGCAAAGTGCTGATTGTTTGGAACATATAGGGAGCTAAAACTCTTTGGTTGCAAGATATTTTAGTAATCCATGAACACAGCCAGGTATGAATGTATTTTTAGCTAAGAAGATCAAGAATCATTATATAATTGGCATTTCATAACCCAATCTGTTTTCTGATTACTGGTTATTGTTGCGTAACATTTCAAAGAGAGCTGAATGGCAGATTGGCATGTTTACCTGCGTGCACTATGACAAGAAATCCTCCCCCCAAACACACACAGAAAGAAATGCACGTGGCACTACGCACTTTCAGTGGAAATCACAAATATTCTAGTCAGATGACGAAGAGGAGAGAGGCTTAACTGACAGACGTTAAAGACATTCCTGATGATCCCTTTCAACAACAAGGATCAGTTATTTTTCATTGATCAAATACTGGATTATTAATTATTTATTAATTATTTTGCTGTCTTTACTATAAAATCACCGGAAATACGTCTTCTACAAATAAGTTTACCTGCTTGTGAAGAGACTAGAGGAGTGTTTCATCTTTTGTTTTGGGCTCTGTGGATGAAAACCCACCTGGATGTTGCATTTCTCTGGATTTACCTGACTGTCCAGGGTGAATTTCTCCATCTTGGATTTTATCCTTTGTGTTTTTTGGATGTTTTGAGTTGAGTTTAAAAGCTTGGTGCAGGACTGGAACCAGTCTGATAAACGTGCCTACAATACCAGCTGTGTCTCAGGTCTTTTTCTCCACAGGCGTGAGTATTCGGGCTGTCTGGATAAAGTGTTTTTTTTCCCAATTTGGGAAGATCAAAAACACAAAAGTTGATCATTGAAAGGTTTAGGTGGGACATCACACTGTGGGCATAAAAAACTCTTTTTACCTTTGCATGTATTTCTGTATTTTGTTACTTTCTGAGAGTGTTGTGAGCCGTCCGTACACCATGCAGAATAAGTCATTTCTGCAGGCTCGCTGCAATGAGCCTATAATGACAACGGACTGGGGCATCCCTCTGCTGCTGGCTCTGCTGCTGCTGGCGCTGCTCTATGCCTTCCTCTACCTGCCGGCTACAGCCCAGAGAGCCCTGCTGGAGCAGGCGCTCAGCAGCAATAACACAACCACTGCAGTGACCACACCCGGCCAGGAGGACTGGTTCACAGAGGAATAGGACAGATGGAAACACTGGCAAACAGACGAAGAGCTTTAAACGTGGAATAGCAGACATGTGACAGCAGAGCGCTCACAGACGCTGACCTTGAGGAGATGGTGTGGAGGATTACCCTGCTCTTAAGTCTGTCCTGTAACACAAAGCAGATTGATTGAGTTGTTGTGGAAAAACTGCCTGATTCAGTGGGCACTTTGGATTATCTGCACTCCTAAAACCATACCTATATATGACTGCATTTTACTCTGTATGAGCTACAAGTGACAGAATGGTATCAAAGGACAATCTGTGGTGGATAGAGAAAATCCTGACCAAACTTTCCTATCTTTCTGTTAATAGAGGGAGAGTTTAATGATAAACTGGGGCACAACTAAACTCACTAAACTATACACTTATTAGCGAGAGTTAGATGAGAAGATTGACACCAATGTCACATCTGTACAGTAAATATGAAGCTACAGATAGCAGCCAGTTAGCTTAGCTTAGCATAAAGACTGGAAACAGGGGGAATAGATAGCCTTTTCCACTATTTTTTAACAGACTAAACAAACAATATAGAATGTGTCACTAGCTAAGCTAAGCTAATTGACTAGCACATATTTAGAGGTAGGCTACGTACGTCGTATAAATCTTCTCATCTTACTCTCATCAAGAAAGCAAATAAGTCTATTTCCCCAAATCTTTGAAGTAATGCTTTAAAACTACCAAGCTATGGTGTTCATACATATTATTAAACTAGCTCTTTTTGCTCCATTTGCTAATTTCTCTATATAACGTAAAGCATAAAGACTTACTAACTTAACTTTGTTTTTGTTATGAGCCACACTACTCTCAGTAATCCCAGTAGGCCTATTTCAATATGAGCCAAAAGTTTGAAGTGACACATACTGATCTGCTACAGATCTGGGTACACCGGGTTAATTGGTATAAATTCCAATGAGAATTTGCTTCTTGTTTTTCTTGTATTACGTTGGAGTATGGTAACAGATACTGGTGGATATTTTACATCTGAATAAGTCTCTTTGTATAGAAAACTGAACTGAAACACAGTGAGAATATATGTGTTAATAATAACCTTTACTTTTATTTTAGACTGTTCAGACAATAATAAAAGAGTGTTATAGTGTTATTATTTCTGTATTTTTATCTGTAGTTTTCTGTAAATGCATTGGCAATAGATTTACAAAAACTTGCGCTGAGTTACATGTGATATGACATGTTGAAATGATCACCAAGGACATTTCTGTGTGTAACATTTTACTTATTGGCTACTTGTACAGTGTAGTTGAATATAGAGTTATGTTCTGTATTTAAACCAACTGAATAATGTGATATAATAAAACATCATAAAAAGATAATTTCTTCTCTATTTCTTCCAACAGAAAATGCTATGGCTTTCTTGCCCGGAGTCAGATGCAGAGATTGATGCCACTCTCATATCTATACAGTAAATAACCCTATTAAAGGACAAGTGTGTAGGATTTTGTGGCATCTATTGGTGAAGTTTCAGACTGCAACTAACTGAACACCACTCGTGCCTGTATCTGACGACCTGGGAATGAGAATGGGCTGTAAAGTGTGTAGGAGGAAATATGGTGGCCACGCAACTTGGAAAAAAATACAAAAGGTCCCATCTAAAGCACAGTTTGGTTTGTCCGTTCTGGGCTACTGTAGAAACATGGCAGTTCAATAGAAGGTGACCCGCAGCGTCTGTAGACAAAAATGCAACGATTCCTATACTCAGGTGATTATACACTAATGAAAACATACCTTTGAATATTATATCCAATAGATCCTCCTAAATGTGGACCTTAAAGATACTTCCAGCAACTGGTTAGCTTAGCTCAGCAAAAAGACTGGAAAGAGGGTGAAACAGCTAGCCTGACTCTGTCCAACAATCCACCTGCCTGCACGTCTAAAGCTCACTAATTAACATGCTTTGATTACAAAGTGAAGTCTCCACTGGTTGCCTGGCAACTCCCCACCACCAAGAAATTCCCTCCATAAGTGCAAAATGAGCTTTAGAGGTGCTGGTAGGTGGATTACCTTCAGACTGAAGTTAACTGTGTCCTCGCTGTGTAATGACTTGACAAAATGTGTTACATTTTGACTTCATTATGTAATGATTTTACAAACATAAATGTATTTCGTAATAAATTAACACATATTTTGGGTGGCTATTATGAAAAGTGGGAGCTGCACTTTTCTTTATGAACGGCAATTTTAATAAGTTGAAGCTTATTTAATGGTCTTTTTGAGAAGCCGTGTGAAAAGCCCATTGCAGTAGTGCTAGAAATAAAAGTGTGAATTAGTTTTTCCAGGTTGGTATTTGGCATGAATTCCCTGAGTCTGGCTGTATTTCTATGATGATAAGAAGCTTGTCTTGTCGCTGCTTTCATGTGGCTTTTAGACTAAGATCAGGGTCAGTTATAATGCGAAGGGCGGCACCACAGGTCTTATTTAATATTTAAGTTTAATTGAGGTTAATTGTTAAAAATATAACATGTGTACAGATGAACAAACTGGGATATATTACGTTCATGTTTTCAAGTTATTACATAATGCAATGTTATTACATAATGTGTTGTTACAACAAGCATATTCCACAGATTATGTCAAACTGTGCATGCAGGAATAATCCAAAAGAGACATCTGACTGGTTGTTTGAATTGCCTTTATTAAAAGATACAGGATACTAGATTTGACACCAATATTTGAGGATGCAGCACTTGATCGTTACAGGCTGGGGCATTAGACACAGACAAATGTTTCCAGCTAGCTGTGCCTTCAAAAATATCCCTGTAAATACTGTATCTGCAGTATATGGCAACCATTGACATCTGGATATTGCATCAGTATCTTTTTTTTCAAAATCACATTAAATTTTACAATAAAGTTGTAAAAAAAGGAAGAGAGAATCTTGCTAAACCATGCAACACCCAACAAGCCAACATTTACAGTTAGTCTTAGATCACAACGATTTCAAATGGTATTTCAATGTTCAATATTTTCAGCAACAATGACAATATCATATCCAAAGACTTAACACAATAATATTTCCTATTTTTTAAGGAGAATTAATTCATCCTTTACTTCTCAGACAGTACTCCATCTTTCAGCTACCATCTTAAAATGTTTCATTAATGTTCAAAGCAGAATTTTATTCACATCTTGTGTCCTTGGTATGGAGGTTTAGAAAGGGCTAATTTTGTTGTTTTTTTTTCACTGAGCAAATAGTATCAAATCCTAAAGGACATGCATGCATCTCTTTCTACAATATGCACAGTTCAGTTACAGTCTTTGATTGGTCTGCTCTTTCAAAAAGCTCCACAAAGACTTGAGAAAACTGCTTTGAAAGCAAACTGCAATGTTAAAATACACCATGTCTAAATCTGATCAAACACAAGTCAAAGATCTTGTGTCTGTGAGAGGAGGTGATTCATTTTCTCATCCCAGTTTATTAATGCTTTGAAAAGACAATAGTTGGATGGTCAGAAGGTATTTTCTATATATCATTCTATTCTATACATTATTTTACTTCCTGTAGAGTTGATTATGTATACTGTATAAGTTCTTTTCTGCATGAGTGTATTTAGTATTTAGTATTTACGTTTGATTTGTTTACTGCAACTATAGGGCAAAACCATGAAAACTTAAGTCATAATTTAAAGAATTATTAACATCATTGATATAAAAGTCTTCCTTCAAATCAGATAACAGACCAATCAATCAACCAATACCCTATGACATGGAATAAAACATACAGTTACATCTCTGACTCCCTAAAACTCTGAAGAAAGATGTAACAATGTATCCAGCGTAACTACAGCTTGAGCCCGCCACACAACGTCTTCTTGTGTATATTTGTTTACAATTTGGCAAATTGGCACTGTTAGAAACATCCCAAATTAGCAATTAGCAGTTCCTGTTTGCAGTTTACCCATGAATGTACAGCCAACTGTCACTGGATTACTTTGATACTGAAGAAACTGTGAAAATGTGATGATTCTCAACAAGTTAGCAGCCTCTTTTTCCGATGATTTCTAAGAGGATTTATGGATGTTATGGATGTTATGCATGAAGATAATTCTAGCATCGAAAAGTGTGAGTTGCACTGAATCAAAATATATGTGCATCATGTCTGTCTATATGAATTTTGATGCAAATTGTGCATTCCAGCGGTTTTTAAGTACCTTAATTGCTTCCGTGAGCTTCTCACAAGCGAAGTTTCCATCTAAATATAGCACAAACTTTAACCAAAAATCTGCCAAAGAAAATGCAAATTAATGCACATTTCCTTCCACTATTGTTATGCAATTATTAGAAGTTGGGTAATCCAGATAAACAGCTGTTGGAAATACAGCATGTCTGTTAGTTTCAAATTAATTTGAGGAATGTTACAGTCTCCACACAGATCTGATGTTTTTGTCTGCCATTTTTCAACTCTTCAATGGACCTTAAAGTTACATACCTCATGTACATCATGATTCATTCTCTAAGTCTGTTCCAAATCAACATCAGACAAGTGTAAAACATGTTTTTGATTTGGTTTTTCAAATTTTCAGCATCTCCCCTCAGGTTTTTTATGCACTTAACACAGGTGTATCGAACCCCACCTACAGCCTCTACTGCAGCTCCTACTGATTGACCGTGTTGGTGAGAGAGTAAAATCAGCTACGGTAACTAACTTCCCTTTGTCTTCAAAACACCAACATGCCCCTCTCCCTTTCATCTCACACAATATGTTTGCCTCATGTCGCTTCCCTCTGCGCTCCCCCTTTCAACTCTCTTGTTGTTGTGTTCCAACATGTGAACCCATAATTTTTGCTGAGCATCCAAATGCAATCTGTATTGACATATTTCATCTCTTCTCTTTGGAAAACTCTGTTTGACAGATATTGGATGTTTGTAATTATGGATTGTATATATTGTATTTCCCTTTGTGCCTCAGACTGACCACTGCTGCTTTATGAAGGCAGGGGCACAATAAAGAATGAGGAAAGAAGGGTGGGAGAAAGGAAACTATGGGAGAGTCCAAAAAAACCTCATCATGTGGACAACTCCAGATGAATGGGATATAGATGTAGGAGAATCTGGAAAAAGAACATAGATGCAAGGACAGAAGGCTGAGAGACGGGGGATTCTCTCCTCTAAAAGTCCCTGTCAGACATGGGTTTCAGGAGACCTGCATTAAACAGACAAGGAAGTAAAGGGTAGAAGAGAAGAATAAGGAGTAAGAGGAGAAATGGAGCCTCCTGTCTCGGCCACTGCATTGGCTGCTCTCACAGGGTGACGAGTAGGAGGGGGAAAGAGGGGAAGGTCAAAGGGGAGGGGAAGAATAAGAGTGAAAGAAGGGAAGAAGAGCATCATCTCTCTCACTCTCTCCCTCTATTAATTCCAGTCCTTCTTGATATCGAGAGCCCACTCCCAGTCCAAGTAGACATTCTTGTCGTCGTCGATGAAGCGGGAACGGATCCCATAGTGGCCACGTGATATCACGCCTTTGGGTGCCTCATCAGCCGGGCATACGAACTCATTCTCCTCTGCCTTTGGGCCGTAACTTCCCACCATGCGCGACACCCTGTCCACTGCAGGAAGATACAAAATGGACACAGACAACAGAAGAGCCGGTTTTTATCAGTGTGCTAAAAGTGAGATTTTGGATTTAAAGCTGCATTAGGTAACGTTTATAAAAATAACTTTTTGTTATATTTGTTGAAACTTTCACTATATTCTGACAGTAGTACATGAGAAAGATAATCTGTGAAAAAATCAGGTCCCTCTGGCTCTTCCCACTGCTCCTAATGGAATTTGCAACCATCCACAACGCCTGAACAAAAACAGCCAATCAGAGCCGAGAAAGAGATAGTTGATAGTCTCATTCCCATTCTTGGCTCTGATTGGTTGTTCAGACATGGTGGATTATTGTTGAAGAGTCAGTCCTGGATGACTGTAGGTCTGAAAAAAAGCATATCGTTGATCATGATGAATAATACATTAGCTGAGTCAGTATGTATTATTCAGAATAGGGTAGCTTTAGCATATCATTTGCATTTGGTTTGACTGTTTGACAGAATGTTAACTATTTTTCCTTTTTTTGCATTCTTCATTGGTCCAAACACAAGAAGAGATGGAATTATTTCATTTGTAATCACTTTCTATGCACATTCATTATCTGCACTTAACATATATTTAATTCTCCTTATAAGCAGCAGAATTTGTTGCTCCAGTTTGGTTTTCTTGTCATTTCATTTAGCTAATTTGTGATTTCATCCTAATAAATATATTGGATTGTTGTTAATGCCACATGATAATTTCCAATAGAGATATCAAGGGTGCAACACACAAATCACTTTAAAGAAAAAAAATTATGTGTTTTTGAAGAAGAAGCACAATGTGTAACAATTTTTGTACAATGGGGCAGATGGCAGGTAAGTCCACTTATTCCCTGTCTGAGCATGTGATGCTCCTACACCTCGCTGTAAGTAGGAGTTGTTTGATAAATGTGTATTATCTTTCATTCCTCAGTTTTAAGGTCTAGTGTGTGAACAGTATTCATAGGTGTGTTTTCATTAGTGTATAATCACCTGAATATAGGAATCTTCATGTTTTTGGTACCTTAGAATGAGCCGTTTATATCTACAGAGGTTGTGGGTCTAATGTAACAAAAACACAACAATTCTTATTTACAGGTGATTATAAACTAATGAAAACATAGTTATGAATATTATATTTTATTTCTGACAATACATCATCTTAAACATTACACACTGGACCTTTAAGTGTAATTCTTAGAGGTTTGATGATGGCCCCAGAGTTTATAAGCTAGGTTTATGATGTATACATGTGTATTTTCATACACGTAGACTTTCTTGTACACTCACTTGCATACAAGATAAGTGGCATATTTTGAATTTTAAATGGAAATTGTTTGCATTCATCTTTTCATCCAGTACAATAACTGATGTTCAGATTCTCTCCTGCAGCAGCGCACATGATGGCTGCTTAGTTGCGTTTATAATTATTTGTATTTAGTCAAATTGCTAGTCATGAATGACATTGATGTGTTTAGTTGCTTCTTGTCACTTTGTACATTTATCATATGGTGGCTGAATTGAACTTACCTGTTATTCCTTTTCTCTGGGTCACCTGATGGTACCTCAAGCCAGCGACAATTTCTCTGTTCACCTGCAGACACACACAGAGTCATCAAATCTTTTCATGGACTTTTCTGTTGATTACAAACAAAAGTGGAGCACCAGGAAGGAACTCAAACAAAAATGTAGCTTTTCTGCACATTTTACATTTGAAGGGTTACTCCAACAATTTAGTATTGCACTTGGGGTTGGTGGACTCATATGAGACAGCTTTTTAAAAAGAATGGTTACAAAAGCATATGCATGCGTCAAACAGTGGATACTATGCAAGTTATGCAACTTACTTTATTTATTCTATTCTTTCAAACCCCCATCTTCAGTTTATAAAACAGGCTTTCTGCTTAACTTTTTAATCTCAAACCCAAAGTGACATCATCAGGATCAGTGAATTTTCTGACACTTTCATGCTTTCAAGAACATGTCAGGCAAAACACACACTAATGTGACAAATGAGCGTTTGTGTGCTGGGTGAAGCTGCTTTGAAAGACGGCAGTGACGCTGTTTGGCCAGCAGGTGTCAGAGCGGAGTCAGTCACTCTGAGCTGTTTGGTCATTCTCTGTACATCTCCCTTTCCCGTCCGGGCCAAGTCCCTGGAGTACTGCCTCCAGTCTACCCACACACATACACACACATACACACAGTCTCTCCATTTCAATAAAAACCTGTGTATTAAATGGGCAGCTAGCCCCTACATTTACATTTTTATATATGCCAAATAAAGTTCTTACTGTCCCTTGTTTCTGTCTTCATTTTTGATCAATTTCTCTTTTGTTCTAATAACATTCATCCAGATCTCAGTGTGCTAGTACAGAAATAAAACAATCTGAATCACTCTCAGACCATTAGATAATTTATTGATCTGGTATTCAGCCAGTTCTTGCCGCTGAGTTTTAGAGACATGATGAACAAACAGTAAAAACTACTGACAATTCACACCCCCTAAAAAATTTAAAAAACTGCCAGTAGTGAAGCAGCTTGCATTCCTGGCTTGATATTGTTGTTTGTTGTTGCATTCTTGTTCCTGTGACTGATGGGACAAATGTAAAAATATTTAATCATTCTTAATGTTATAATTGTTCCATAAATAATCCCTCTAGCCTCTGGGTGCACTTTTTCTCTCATGGATATCTGTACTGATTTTCCTTTCAAAAATATTTCATACATCCCCAGTCTGTATTTATTTATAGAGGACATGGGGGACATGAGCTTGGGAAATAGCTACTGTGTGTTTACATTGAGTGGTTTATTTGTAACAGAGCAGGAAAAGAGAGGAGAGAGGATGGACGTGTGAGAAAAAGGGGAGGGTAACAACAAAGATCTGACAGATAGAGCAAGAGACAAACACAAAAATGTGATGTTAGGAAGAAGAATAAAAAGTCAACAAAGATTAAGAGGCTGGGAAGAGTGGCATTAGTGGGAACAGTTAATGGAAATTAGTAATTGATGTGCGTTTTGGGTTTGAATCACAGTTACTGCTGGTTTCTTCTTTTTGATATCACACCAGAAAATAGCAGTTGTGTTTATAACTGGGAGGGATTTGGTGCTTTTGTCTTTGACAAACTGAGTGTAACTTTCTTAATCAGTTGACAACTTCTTGACCACTCGTCTTTTTGGGACAAAATGAAGCATTAAAGGCAGCAAACAGGAGTAAGGGTGATACCAACCCTGTCCTCACTATCGTTGTGCAAACTGTGTTGGATTTTTACTCTTATCTACCTCTGATAGAACTAACAAGTAAAGAAGAAGAGTCTACAGCCATGCATTTTGACCTGATGATGGCGCTAAAGGAAAAGTCTAGGGATCATCACAGTGATTTCTATTCACCCTGAGGGGAACATGAATGTCTGTATGAAATTTAATGGCAATCCATCCAACATTTGTCACAATATTTCACTGAAATTAACAAATGTGAACCTTATAGAGGCGCCAGAGGAAAAATTCAGATATCTCTCACAGGATGAGTAAAAAACATCCTGAAATAAGTTAGGGGATCACCAAAGGCTCCAGGGTTCTTCTTCTGGATCACATGAATATGTTCACCAAATTTCATGGAAATCTGTCCAGTAGTTGTTACATTATATGGATGACAATGTCAGTCTGGACTAAAGTGGACTAACAGACTGACATAGAGCCATGTCATGGCTAAAATCAAGGACATTTAAAAGCAGTGACTTTCTAATTTATCAGAGATGAGAAACTTACTGATGTTTGCCTCTCCAGCATTAATCCTTACTGGCACTATAAAATTAAACGGCCCATGAATAGACTCATTGAATATGATAATGGCCTTGTTTGATATTGTGGTTTGATCGTATAGTACACGGTGGCTTACTCAGCATTGTCTCTCTCTCTCCTTCTCTTTATCACTTACAGTAAATACCTGATCCTCTGTTTGTTGATTCCACCCACATACAAAGCAATCAATCCATGTTGTGTACAGTAAATCTCTCCGTCCTTAATATACCTCCGGGACTGCATCTGTCCGTCTTACCTTGAAGTTTATCTTTAGTCTGTATGTCACTCCTTCCTTTAGGATAAGGGCATTCTCCTTCAGAGCGTTCAGATCTCCTGCACAAACAACAACAATCAAACATCAGTCATGGTCAGTAGGACACGCATGACATCACCTGCTGCAGTGTCTTAAAATGACTCACTGTTGCTGATTCACACATAAATCATATCTCATACTCAGAAATGTAGCTCGCAGCAGCAGACATCAGATTTCTTAAAATTGTAAATAAAGCAGAACTGTATTAGAATAATCTTTTGGAGAAATTGTCCATCTTCACCTCCAAAAGTGTTATTGAAAATTGGTATTTTATCATTTTTAACATAGTAATTGAATTTACAAATAAATAAATAACAACAAACATGCACAAAAAGTGGATTTTGTCAGCAGTGAGAAATGAAAAGGTTGCATAGTTAATCAAACATATTAACTTAAAATACTGAATACAGCATTAGACTTGGTCAATCTCGGAAGCTGTAGCTTTAATACAATAGCAGCCGGATGTATGTTGCTTAGTGGTGAACAATATGATAAATGGGGTTCACTACATGATAAAACTATATGATACACACTTAATGCAGGGGATTTGGAGCATTGTCTCATGTTTTGAATTAAAGTCACACTTAAAGGTGGCTTTCGTAGCCCAGTAAGATAAGATAAGATGTTCCTTTATTGATCCCCCGTGGAAGAAATTCAAGTTGACACAGCAGCACAGAGGAAATGTAGTGCAAAAAGCACTGACGTGTAAAAATACAATAAAGAAAAAAAAAATACAAATATTCTGAAGATATAAGATAAGTCTATAATGAAAATATATACACTATATGCAGTATGCAGTAAGAAATATGGTGTGCAAAAATATTTATAACTAACTGTACAAAAATCTGACTCTAATGTACTGTTTTTTTTTGTGTTACTGGTTCTTTGTACAATTAAACTGTCTTCGCAGTGCTGTGGGGTTGAATGGGTTCATACTGAAGTGCGGGCGAAGCATCCTGGGTCATTGTAAAAGCACATCATAATCAGAAATGCATCCACTGCCTAATCACTTTAAATCTCAATTTAAACCTGACCATCAGTCCTGAGTGCTTCCTAATGGACAGAGAGAACCAGAGGAAGGAGGAGAGGAGAGGAGATGAAGGAGCGATAGATGTGAATAAAAACAGACAGCAGTGGTGTGTGGAAGAAGACAGATATGCAAAGAAAGGAAGTGACCTACAGATAACACGCACGCAAACAGAGCATACATCGTCCCCTCAGAAGAGAACTGCGTGGGATTAGAGGTTTGATTCCCCCTGGTGTCACCTGCATTAAAAATACATGCACTTGTGACAAATTTAGACACTTTAAGTACGACAGCATATCGCGCTTGCCAATGGAAAATCCCCCAACTCTGCTGATGTCGACTGACACATTCTCCCTTTAATTGAGAATCTATATGTCCTCCTGAGGTTTGGGAGCATTTTACCACCACATGAAACACTTCAAACTCCCCCCATTAGATAAAATCAGAAATGTACGATATCGAGCTAATAAAGCTGTTCCTCAGTGGCTGACATTTTTTCACTGCTCCATCTCTGTCCCAGTTCATTCAGTCTATCTCCCTCCATGAACTGTGGTATGTAACGCTCCTATCTCCTCCCTCTGATTCATCTCCTCCCTCTTCTTTTTCTCGTCTCAGGAGACCAAAAGAGAAGAGATGCTGGCCTCCCCTGTGAGCGTCTGACTAAGAAAATAGGTCAGTGTGGAGAGCTGTCTACCTGTTCTCCTCACACAAGTACACGCACACGCACACTATGTACTCATGCCAGTATGCACGCAAGGATTCACACGCGCCAACAAACCCACACATTGAACACACAGCTCACACGTAGCCAGAAAAGCTCAAAATATTATGGAATAAATAATTATGAAAATATTATACACCAGTTTTACCTATTTAACAATACACACAAAAGACAAATGTTTGATTTTATTGTTTTCTTTGTCAAATCATGTATTTTGTATGGTTTTGTAGTGGCTGCATCAGGTACCAGTAGACTGACATTTACTGTAAAAACCTGCAACTTCATAACTTAACAAAAGTGCCCCCACAGAGAATACATAGAACAAGATAATAGGTATAACATTTTTGGTTTAGAGTAGGGTTTATTTTATCCAAAAGTATATAATTTAGATATAAGATGAGAATTACACTGTAAGGAAATCTTGTACGTTTTACATGTATCATATATGACAATTATTTACCAGTAGCCTACTCTTGAGAATACAATCTTAATTCAAGAATACATGATCAGTTCATAAAATATGATGCATTCTTGTAAATTAAACTACCCAACAGTATATACACGATAATAAAAGCTCCACCTCGACTAGTCACAACATAACAAAACTGAGGGTCTACCATAGCAGCTCTGTGAAGCTGTATTTAGACACAGTGGTGCTTTGAGCTGATTGCTAATATCAGCAACAAGTTCACAATGACACCATTCTTATGTTCAGCAGCAATAAGGTAATTGGAAATATTGAGCTGATGATGGCGCTAAATGAAAAGTCAGAGGGGAACATGAACGTCTCTATCAAAAGTGCAGGGCTAAAAAGCTGCCTGCATATGGCTGCATCAGTAGTAATCATATATTATTATAAAATATATCTTAACTTAACCCTCTGGACCATTCTGCATAAAGAGTACTTCAACTTACATAAATACATTTGAATTTGAATGCAGGACTTTTAATAAATTAAATAAATGCTGCACTTCTTCCACCAGCATTCATAACCGTATCAAATACAGCAGTCACATGATAAGTCTCATTAATGTCAACTGGGAGGCTGTTAAGAACCTTCACTGCTGCAGTTTCAGTGGAGTAATTAGACTTAAAACCAAAGTGAAATTAGTCAATAAGAATGTTGCATGACAAATGAGCAGTAGGTTTATCGGAGACAACCCTTATTAAGTTCAGATAGAAAGAGATTGGAGATTGGCCTGTAGTCCAGGGAAAGGTTCAGAGGAAATTCAGGCTAGCATCCAGTTCTTTTGAATTCATTTTAATGTTTTCTATTCACTCTCTGCCCACGTTTGAATAAATAATCTCATTATTATATGAATTTCACAAACACAATCCTTTTAAAGTGGTCACATATTATTACTGATATCATACTATGCCCACAGCACACAATGAATGCAAGGTAAAGATCAGCGGCTGACACAGAGAGGCTAGGCTGCTTGGCGTGAGTGTGTGTGACTGAGTAAATGTGTAGCAGCATGCATGCTCAGCAAAACAACCCTGAAGCCTGAGAACATGAAAGTTTAACAAAGCAAGTGCTTACATTTAGGGCACCAGAGCACTGAAAAGTCATAGTCAAGGATATTGCTTGGTGTAGTGCGGCCTGGCAGCAGGCCACACAGTACAGTATGTGACACACCATATATCATAGGCCAAAGTGTTGTGTTAAACCTTATAGCATGGGAATATGTGCAGCCACTGAGACATAGGTTTAAAAAAATAATATATATATATATATATATATATATATATAAGACAGAAATGGTAGTAATACTATTGCAATGAAATGACCTCACATAGAAGCAGCACATGTTTTGCAGTAAAATGATATGATCCCTTTAAAATTTGATGTTTAACGTACATTTCTAACCAAACTGGGTCACAGCTTACATTGTTGTGCTTACAGTATATGCTTTTTGCATGGGTGGCTGCATTGGGCAATGAATCCCTATCTCTAGCAGCCATATTGCTGTATCTACTCAGACGCAAAAACACATTAAAAGCTGTTTCTGTGCTGCTAGCTCAGCCTGGAAAGTATTTTTATGTTTCAATGCATCAACATTCAGGGCCATTGTTCAAAAGTAACAACTGAAATGATAAAAAGAAATTGTAATTTCTTAAGAGCAAGAGTAAAGTTACTGTCTATTCGCAGTGCTGATAAAAAGGTGGTGATATACTGGATGATATGTGAGGCAAGAGTTCAGTGATGAATTCAAAAACGGGGAAGGGCAAGTGTCATGTGAGACTGAGGTATGCAAAATGAGAGCGGTCAGATGATCAGACAGGTTGTAAACAAGCCAACAGTGTGGCCAGATTAACCAGTTTTATTTCATTATAAGAGGTAAAACTTTCTCTTTGACTGCAACACTAGTACAGTAGGTCAGTGTTGAACTAAGGTCAATAATGGGTTTACAACAGATATTTTGGGTGATACATTTACAGTGCTCATTTTGGGTTTCAAATAAGTTTGTTTGGTTAAACCCGGGGATTTATTTAAAGGTTACACATATGAAATTCAGTTGCCACTGAAATAAAAAAAAAACCCTACAGAGACATACCTTTTGTTTTAACCTGCCACCAGACTCCATAGACAAAAATAGTAATTTTACCTTACAATTGTAACATTGTAACTTCAAAGTGGACAGAAACAAAATAAAACTCACCAAAAACATTTTTGTTAATCTTTACACTGTTCCAACAATTAATAACTCTGGTTTGGTCAAAATAAATCCTTAGTTCACCGACATAGATGCGTAAAACAGAGCGTCGCTCTACTCTGCTGCACTAGGAGCAGACCGTTCTTGTAAACAAACCACAGACAGGCTGCAATAGCAACACAAGCAAAGAGAGTGCTATGCCTTTAAAGCCTGTTTAATCATTGGATTGCTGTGTCTTAAGCAATAAATATATTTCATAGTTAAGAGTTTGGGGTAGTATTACAGTATATAAACAAAATGACACAATCAGTTAAAGGAGACCCTGAATGGCTGTTGTACTGTAACCTAATTAAGTAAAAATAGGTGTTAATGCACATAAAAAAAACAATATAGCCTATTATAAATTGTACTTTAGTGGAGCACAAAGCTCCGAGCACCACCTGTCCTGTTGTTGTCTGTGCTGACAGAGACTCTGATGTACTGAGAGACTTCACACCTTCTGAGTGCATGAGGGACCAGTTATGAACTGAGAGGCTGAGGCTGAGACACACGCGCCCAAACAACCTGGCAGAAGTTAAAGGCCAGTCAAGCATGCAGTAAGTGTCTCAGAGTGTCTCCTTTCTCTCCTTTCTCGTCAGCGATCATCTAGACTACAGTGCAATGTATCTGACCCTGCGTTTTGCCATCCCTCCCTCTCTCTCTCTCTCT